ATTACCTCAAGTTTTAATTTTTTGAATTGATCCGTTCAAAAAATCAAAGGGGAGGGGGACATTAAGAAAAGCACTGTATGCATCCTATAAAGGAATTGTTGTAGCCTATTCTTCACCACGTTACAAAATAATAAATTGATTAAGCAGCAGTCGGAAAGTTCAAACATCATAACAAATCCTTAAGAATCGAGCTCGTGCTGATGTTCATCTACCTGAAACAGCCGTTGCGAAAAAAACAAAGTACTAATTAAGAGAGCGAGCGATTTTATCCACAGAGAAAGTACTGACACTGGTGATTGGATCGAAAAAATAGAAGATATATTCTAATCCCACATTCTTGTCTGGCAGAATCAAAATCAAATATGTTTGAGATTCCTCTATTGAACGACATTTCGGTGTCAACGGTGAAAATATTATCAAAAATTGTCAATCGCATTTGAAGAAGGTCATTCTTGGGCAACAAACGTCATTAGATAAAACCACAGGACGTTTTAGATGTTACATTAAGGCATATCTCATTTCTTATGAAGATTTATGGGCGTATATACTCACAGAAATAGCTGTATATGAGCAGGATCGTTCTTGCGTGGTTGATTTCTCAGTTTTTGAAAAGTTTAGCTTATATCTTGTATGAATGAACTTTAATTTTTATCACGTTCAAGTGTGTATATATTCTTACGTCAAGATACTTTCAGTGCAGGTCGCAGATGACGAATCAATGAGCTCACTGAATGGGCAAAATGTGTTTGCCCTTTTAAAATGCTGGTCTGGCAAAAGGAATAACATAGTCGACAATGCCATTAAATAACAAACTTTGGTTTCGTTTAGTGGCTAGATTAAATGAGACATACAAAGTTACAGATTTCACGATAAGCTAAAGTGATAACACTAGCACCAGATAGAGATCACTCACTGGAGTGATACTCTGCATGTCTTTTTTTAATTTAGATTAGTACGAAAAACGTTATTATTGCCTAAACGGCCAGATTACTGCTTTCTTTTAAGGAGTTATATGAAATAAGTTTTCAGTACAACTAGCCATACATAATACACACTTAATGTGCAGTGCATTCTACGACTGAATAAACAATAACAATTAACTGGTGTGTTACGACAACATTTCTAGACAGGTTTTCGCAATTTGGGGATTATGAACAAGGCTAAGGTATATGGTACATCAAGAAACGACATATAGTCTCATGCTCGCTGTATAGAAATGTGATAATGAAAAGAAAAAACAAACAAACTGTCACCTGGAACATTGATGAATAAAACATATTGTCATTGTACTGAAGAAGATCATCCTTGTGATTGAAACGTTCTTCAGTAAAGAAGATTCTGTCAATACATGTGATTTTATTGGCCCGACAATTTTGGGTGATTATCAATGAGTTTAAATTGTTGCAATCACCGCGATGTCACTCTTACATCCTATCGTAAAAAATATTTTCACAGTTGGGAAATGTGCTTCAATATACTGCAGAATAAAAAAATCTGCGGCATTAACTCTTTTAGGGGTTCTTCTAAACACGTTTATTAGAGATAGACAATATGCATTTCCTTTTTTTAAATTGACTCTGGTGGCTGAGATAACCGATACATAAGAAACATTCTGCAGCATAGTACAAATATTCACAGATCTAGCAGCTGTTTGCCGTCATGCCGCAGTGCCCTCGCTATCTTCTCCCGTTATCATAATGTCTTGGTGGGACCATCAGGTATAAAATCTAATTTAGCGCTTATATTAGCTACTAATCTTTTGAAATTCTAAATCATTTTTGCAATAGTCTGTTGGTTCGTAAGTTTACAGAAAACTTTTGAGAGTTAATTCCTTTGTGAATTGTGAATATGTCAATATGTTTGATGCCATTATTTTCAGTGAAATAGTCTTTAACTCATAAATTTTTCCAGTTTGAGTAATTTTCTGGTATTCTGCAGAATTATTTGGAATGTCACGAACAATACCCTTTGAGGGGGGGGGGAGTTGGTTAGTCAGCACTCCAAGTAGAAGACCAGAAGGATATTTCTCCAAATAAGTTGATCGACTTTCTCAGGAGGTCGGAATTGCTGGGGGAAATATACCTACTTAGGTGTGAGCCACAATAGGTCAGTGAGTTGCAATGGAGGATCGTGATTGACCTACTAACAAATAATCTAACCCAAAAACCTGAACTGCAGGGCTATTATGTAAACAACCTAAAAAAACGTCAAAAGAAGCAACAAATATCATCTTGCAGCTTGTGCTAAGCTTTCTTGAAGAAAAACCTACGTTATGAGAGATAAGATTATATTTAGCCATAGCAGGAGCATAAGAGACCGTAAAACTCTATCACACTTTTCAAGCGTTGTTTTTCGAATAATGCTGCCTGCCATACTTTACAATGCTTTAACAGGTAAATACAAGTAAATGTTGTCTGCCAATTTCCGTAAACAAATAAAACAATTTGTATTTACCCTTACCTGACATTGGTCTAGTATCTTTTCTTATGTATATACATATATATATATATATATATATATATATATATATATATATATATATGTATATATATAAATATATATATATATGTATATATATATAAATATTATATGTGTGTCTGGGTGTGTATATATATATATATATATAGGTGTATATGTGTGTATATATGTACATATATGTGTGTATGTATATTTATATTTGGGCATCCATGTATATATGGTACTGTATAGTTGTGGTGTATTACAGTTTATAGTTTAGTTTAGTTATAACTATATTTTTTTTTTGATGACATATCTTAGGCAACGCACATTACATCGTGCTCTAAATGTATTGACAATGATAGTTAAGTGTAAGAGTAGCCTAGGCTAAACTTCGCTATCTTTGTCGCTCACAAGTAAAGGCGTTATTATTATTATTATTATTATTATTATTATTGTTATTATGCCACAAAAAACCTACGAAATGTCAAAAAACCGACAATATGTCGCTTCTCAAGATACGTAAAACCAAAGCCGTATTCAGCATACTTAACCCTATTCCACGAGTCTCCATCAGGTTTTGACGCGTCTACTGGGGTAAACAGCTGATTAGCAAGTGACATCTTTGTGTTAGTCTGCAACGTTAGCGATAATGAATCGGGTTAAAATTCAGTAAAACATGCTTGTAACGTTTTCTTTTTCTAAAGAAAAGTGTTGTTAGCAAATACAAAATGAATTTGTAGTTTACAAAAAACAAAAAAAAGTACGGCTCTACCTTCCTGGCGTTGACGGATCCGTCATAATTATGTGTCGTTTGTCTATATGTGGAACTTAAAATATTTCTAGATGATCAGCTGTTATTCAACCGTAATGGATACTCGTGAAAAAGAGTTTAGTCTTATAGAGAATTGCCTTTTAGCATGACGCAAAATTCCAGGAACATAAAAATGCCTTGTGTTATTACAAGCAATGCTTAGATCGTGCGAGTAGCCTTGGGGGAGGAAAGAATGTTCTCCTTGATAGTCGTAACTTTTGACCCGCGGTCAACAATGCACGTAGCCTTTGCTGTTACACTTTCCATTTCCAGTGTCCGCGATTGCAGTTCGGATAGCTGATATGAGTAACGAGCATTGCCTCGCGGAATTGTATGGTACTGGAATTTTAATATGCAGATAAGTCAAGACCGACCAAGGCGGCCTTAGAATAATTAGAATGTTTGCATTACACACTTAAATTGGGTCAAATGTATGAGACATGTATGTACTTGATTGAATTGGAGGAAGGAAATACTAATAAAGAATACAGGAAATGGAATTAATCCACTTTCTAATTCTACGAGACCTTGACGACATTTTTTTTCGAAATCTTTGTTAATCAAAATCTAACGCCGATTAAAACAAATGCGTAGGTAGCTATCAGACTTCAGAAATTTTAGATTTCCCGTGTAAAATAGCTAATATAATGCCACGTTACCGTGGTTATGTGATAGCGAAAACCACAAACCACTTGAAATAATTGGATTTTGAGTTCTCTTACAATTTCGCAAAAACAGAGTGCATTCCCGCTAGAGAAAATTTCAAGCAAAGTTCATCATTGTTCCTGGAGAAATAAGGCTAATTAAAGCTTCTGCCCAAGTAGCTAAAATATCCGTTATATCATGATACTAAGCTGCTAATGTTGCACTCTAATGACTTCAATAGGTTTCAATGTCAAGATGAAGTAGCCTGTTCTAATGCCAAGGCTGAAACGAGTAAAAACTAAGGTCATACATATTTGCTTTTACACCTAGCGGTAGTCAGAATCATGTGCTGAGTAAGGGAACAGGTGTTGTGGGACTACGGACGTCCCGGATCTTTTTTTGCACTTTGTTATGTGTTAAGTGTCGAAACCGCAGAGTTGAATGATATTAGACCGTATTTAAAATCGTAATTGAAGGTTTTTTTTAGTGGAATGGACTGGTTACGAATAGAATGTTTGCGATTTTTTTGTAACAATTCAGTAATTGGTTTGGCTAGACTGTTTATATTCGTTTTAATGAACGAATTCGGCTGTTGTGTTGCAATTATTAAAATAAACGTCGGTGTTACGGAACAGGATACCAACAAGCTTTAGTCAATAGCATTGTAATGATATTTTGAGGTAGTACCAGTACACCTTTCACTTGTAGATTAGTTCATCTATTCGTGGTATTTGTCTTTGGTTTAATTTGGAATATATACGGAAATGGATATTAGTATAATTGGATTTAAAGCAATATACCTATCTTTTATCTTGCAGTTGGGTCGAGAAAAACAGAATCATGCTCCTTACAAATAATTTGATGTATCCGTAAAGCCAGTTTGACACTTCACACATTTGGCCCATATGTGTTGTTAGCGATATGTATAGTTTGCTACAAACTTATTTGTAAAGCCTACAGTAGTTTGATAATTATCACCAGTCCTACGACATTTAGAATTGATCTGTTGAGAAAGTGTACATCATAAGGAAGAAATATACCCCTGGGAACATTAGTGAGGTATCTGCTCGCTTGCATATCAGTTTCGGAGAAGTCAGAAATCAGATAAAAGTGCTGTACTGAGTGTTACTCTAGACTGAAAGTCGAAAATGAGCAAGAAGGAAAAGAAAAATGAAGAAGACGGTAAAAATCGAGTCGATAGCCATAAAATTATAGTCAATTAATATGAAAATGATTTAGGAACAGCACAAAATCAAGAAATTCGGACGATAATAAATAATGACAAAAATACGGAAGCAGCACTTAAACAAGAAATTAAGTCACTTAATAAGAAAATTGAACTACTGAGTAAATTACTAGCTGAAAAAGATAGGCTAGTTCATCAATTGTCCAATGAAGATCGTAGGTTTCAACAGCACTACGATCTATTAGCCACCAAGGTCGTACAAAAGGGCACTATTATCAGCACACTGGAAGGACTAAATACACGAATGGAAGTATTTGAAAAATCAACCGCAACTAAGAATGTCTCATATTCTCAGATAGCTGCAAGTAAAGCATCACCAAACAAAGAGACAAGATCTTTGAAAAGCATAATCATTACACCTGATCAAGACCAATAAAACTACAAGACCAGATATGATCTCAACAAAAACTTAGACCTCTCGAAACTTCAGATAGGTATCGACAAGGTCAAAAACTGCAGAAATGGAGCTGTAGAAATAAACGTTCAGATTGTGTTCATACCGAACTTAAACAAGAAATCGAAAAAAATATGCCTACATCCTACAAGATATCTGAACCAAAAATTAAAATAGTTGGTTATCGTTCGGAGGAAAAAATTACCGAAAGAGAAATTCAAGAAGAAATTATAAAACAAAATCACTTTGTGGCTAACGGAGATATCCATTACTGATATTAATTATGTTGCGCACAAAAAATTTTACATTATTTTTGCTGAAGTGACAGGTAAATTATTTAGATATATTTTTGATAACAATGGAAAAATTTTATTGAGATTCGAAAATATTATCGTTTATGACAACAACATAGTATCACAATGTAAAAATTGCTTAAGGTTTAATCATTCAACGAAAAAATGTCAAAATTGTAAAGTATGTTCAAAATGTGGAGAAAACCATGACTTTTCCTCCAGCAATCAATCAACCACCAAATATTGTAACTGTGTGTCTGCCAACCACAAGTATAACAAACAATATGGCACAAATCATGGTCCAACTGATAAAAAATGTCCTACTTTCAAATTCTTCCAACAACAACAACACATATCACGAGTTTTATTTTGATGTACATATGTACAAAATTTAATTCTAAATTATTAAAGAAAACAAACCTTTTAAATTTGGTCACTTAAATATTCTGTCTCTATTACCTTCTCCATCTGGTTTTGCCTACATGTTGGAAAATTCTGATTATGATATTTTAGCTCTATCCGAAACATGGCTCAATAAAAACATCTTAGATACTCTTTTCTATATTCAAGTATATACATTCTATCGAAAAGATAGGGAGAGTCGCGGTGGAGGCGTGGGCGTTTACGTGAGAAATGGTTTGCCCTGTGAAGAATTACAGATTGAGAACCATATTGGCTACTTTCCTAGTGTTGAGAATATGTGAATTAAATTGAAATTATGTGGTCAAACTCTTGCCTTTAGGGTAATTTACTGACCTCCCCATAATAATGTTGATGAAGCCATCGATTTTTTTGATAATGCTTTCTCTTTTCTGGTACCCAACTTTGATTATGTTGTAGTTCTTGGAGATATGAATATAAATCTTTCAAGTTCAGATAACAAATTGGAAAATTGCTTTAATGCGTATGGATTCCATCAAGTTATTATAGAACCCTCTAGAATAACTAGTATTTCAAGCAGCCTACTGGATCCCATATTCATCAATGATCTTCAAGTCTGTTCAAATTCTGGGACTATAAATATGGATTTATTTACCGATCATTTTTTAGTATTTTGTGAAACAACTTTGCAGTCTAAAAAACCTAAGCAAAAATTCTTTAAATTCAGAGACTTTAAAAATTTTGATATTTTATCATTTCAAAATGATATTTTAAACTTTCCCTGGAGTATTATATATTCCGTAGAGAGTATTGGTCACAAAATTTCATATTTGACAGATGGGCTAAAATTAATTTTTGATAAGCATGCACCTCTAAGAATTGTACGTGTAAATAAACCGTATGCACCCTGGCTATCATCCCAGCTTAAACGTTTGATGAAAGACAGAGACAGAGCTTTAAATCAGTTTAAAATTAATAAGACAGAAGATTCCTGGAATCGCTACAAGCTCAGAAATTCAATTTTAAGTCAAATTAGATATCAAAAAAACAGCATATTTATTATCCCTCCGTCAACAAAATGATTCAAAAATGCTTTATAGATCCTTAAAATCAATGCGTATCTAAGTCACAAAATACCGATATTCCTCTGCTTTTAAAGAACCCTACTGACATTAATAATTATTTCTGTTCCATTTTTAATAACGCCATTTGTTCATGCACAGAGAAGATTGAGCATTATGAAAAGAATCATTATTCTAGTGATCGATTCAAGTTTAAACCAATCGATATGACTTATGATTTAAAATCGATGTTCCAGTCTCTGAAATCGAATGCCTTAGGAAGCGATGGCGTGTCACTCAGAATGCTAAAACTATGCTTCTTTGCGATTTCAGGTCACATTTTACACATCATAAATACCTGTTTAGAAATGGGATTTTTTCCAGAATCATGGAAAGAAGCATTCGTGTTACCTCTAGCTAAAATAAGTAAGCCAAAATTATATTCTGATTTAAGACCAATTAGTATTTTACCTGTTTTGTCCAAATTATTAGAAAAAGCAATGTACGCTCAAATTTACGATTATCTCTCTAAACATAAAATTTTGCCTCCCAAACAACGCGGTTATCGAAAAGGATATAACACTGCCCTATTAGACTTAACCGATAACATTGTTAGAGTCTGGGTTCAACATATGATCACATCATTAGTTCTTCTTGACTTCTCTAAGGCATTCGATACCATAAATCATCGTCTTCTAATAGCCAAGTGCAAATATTTTGGTTTTTCTGACTCTGCCTCAAAAATGATTCAGAGCTTCTTAGGAAATCGATATCAAAGGGTACACATTGACATGGTTCTATCTTCAAAGTGCCTCAAGGGTCTGTATTTGGGCCACTCCTATTAATTTTGTATATTTCTGATCTCCATTCAGTTGTTAAATATTGTAATATCCAATTCTTTGCCGACGATTCACAGATCTACAGTCATTTCCATAATCACGACATTCGAAATGTTGAATATGAGATAAATGAAGATGTAACATCTATTAGTATGCATGCAAAAAATCATAACCTTCAATTGAACCCTTTAAAATCGAAAGTCATCATTTTTTCAACAAAACTATTTAGAAGTGATGCCAAAAGAAATTTTAAAGCAAAATTAAATAGTGAGACTATAGAAGTAAGTGAGTCAGTGAAAAACTTGGGCGTAACTTTAGATGAATGTCTAAATTTTATACCACATGTAAATAATATCAGTTAGAGTTGTTTTTCAATTTTACGTCAATTATATCTTAATAAACAATTTCATGACTTTACAACTAAAAAAAAATTGTGTGAATCTTTGCTAAAGTCCAAACTTAGTTATTGCGATTTAGTTTATGTTCTATTTTTTGACTGAATATCTCTAACACGTCTCCAAAAAATCCAAAACTCATGTTGTAGGTTGATGAATAATTTGAAAAAATATGATCATATCAGCCTTTTTTTTAGTGACATGAAGTGGTTGAGAGTAAATGGGCTGTGTGAGCTACACTTAGTGACTTACATCCACAGGCTTTTACTGTCATCCATTCCGCCGTTTTTGAGAAATAAGCTGCATGTAAGAAGCAATATCCATTCTAGGGACATTCGATTCACTGAAACACTCACAATGCCCCTCCACGGGACATCATTCTTTCGTAAATGCTTCACCTACAACGCAATTATTTTTTACAATGCTCTACCTCGATCCACAAAATTGCTATCATATGATGAATTTAAAAGACATATGATGGAATTTATTTTGAATAGAAATATATAAATTAGTTGATAAAATTTATCTGTCACCCCACACAAAAATTATTCCAATATAGCATTCCTTTGTTTTGTATGTCTGTTACAATTTCATACTTTTAAATCATGAAAAATTGAATAACTTATATATGTTATATACCATATTTTTTATAAGTACACCTACATTTTTAATCTTCTAACTTATCAAATGTATTTATGTTTTTTTGTATTGTTTTTTCAGTTTTTCTTTTTTTTTAAAGACGATTTATTATTATTATTATTATTATATGGTGATAGAACATTTTTTTAACAAGTTGATTTGTGTGAGTCTGTTTGGGTCCACTTGGGGTTTTAAGTATACATTAACAGATTCATACTCGAATCGGGCGGGCCGTCGGCGATCTAACTCTCTTCTATAACCAACAAGCTTTGCTCCTCAGAGCTCTTCTACAATATGCCGCCGCGTAATGTGCCTACCAGACAGACCCGTCTGACTTTGGCCTCCCATCCTAACCGTGTCGGACTTCGTACATCTAGAACTGGCAGATAGGACCGCTCCTTTGCCTCTAGGGTATCGAGATTGTAGAGCAATATACATGAGGAGGCTTTTCAAAGTTCTACTAATTTTAGACAGTTCAAAAATCGGATTAACAAAGTATCTTTAAACTCCCCCCTAGCAATGTAGGCTTCTGCCTGCACGGCTGCTTTGGTGTAAAAAAATAATGGATGCAGTTCCTTTTGGAGTACACCTAATCAGAATCGGCCAGTTCCGTAAACGTAAGCATATTCCTTAATAATCCTTATGTAAATACTTTTTTCTTTATTTTAGCGTAGTATGTTCCTATTTCTAATGCAAAATATTTTAATGACCGCCTATATTGATTGTAGATTTTTTTCTTTCAGACGCTCCTGTTAGTATTTTTGTCTACCCTGGTAGTGATCTGCCGAGCCCAGTATGAATTCAGCGACTTCTACACGTTTTCGGGTGGTCTGGACGCAAACTACCGTTCCACAAGGGACCCACGACAAAACACCGGACCTGTTGTCTTCCCTCCCGCACCTCCAGATAATGGGGAGACCAGCGGAGTGATCGTAGGCGCATCGGGATATGGATTTGTACCTCCAAACAGTAAGTCAGCCCTTCAAAGAATTTTGATTTAATGCGATGCTTCTTCATTTCATCAACCAATTTTGATACAGCTTGGTCGAATACATTTTCCTTTCAACCAGATTACACAACACAGTGGTTGTTCGTTTATCCTAAGATTGTTCATTAACACACAAAATATGTACCTGTATATACTTACCAAAAATAGAAAATCAAAAGTAAATTTAAAAGAAAACTGGTTTCTTCGACAAGTTGAGCCCGAAAACCACAAAAGTACGAAGCCAATACCAATTTCTTACTGAGATCGTTGAGACGGGACGCTCTATAATGCCAATTCCTCCACACCAAATAAGACTTCCGATAATATTATAGGTTTGTTCCAACAAGCAGCTCCGAACTAGCTCAGAACTAATTTTCTGCGCATGCTCGAAATAAGTACAGTTCAGAACTAGTTCCTAACTATTCTATTGAAACAGATAATATCATAATCTTGACGTAAACATAACCTTACTTAGAGCAAAATTTGAAATGATGGGTCTGGAATTTGAGAGAGTTTATTGTTTTTTGACACACAGTATACTTTCTCAATAAAATTGGAAAAACCAGATCGCAGATATTTTAAACAAATAGTATGTCGTAGTTCGCAAGCACACAAGACCGCGACTCGCACTGTGAACAAAATTAAATCGTGCGACTTTAGGTCGA